GGGAAGAGTGCATATAAGGCCCATGCCTGAGTTAAATTTAAATGTATTGTTCCAATACCAATTTCCCAGTTTTGACAATGTACTAGTGTTATGTAAGATATCAGTAAGAGAATCTAGAATAGGAAGCATTTGGAAAAAACAGGCATGTGTTACACACTGTACAAAGGATGGTGTACATGTTAGATATTAAGCATTAATAAATAATTATCATCAAGGATTTTTTAAAAATTTTAATCCACTGGTGGAGTTATTTTATTACAAACAGCATAGCAAACAAAACTGGTGTAATTTGAATTTCTGATCATAATTACTATTTTTAAAATAGTAATTTTAAAATTAAACTATTTCTAAATAAAGGCTATTAAAATATGTAAAAATATTTTTAAAAATAGGCCCTGGCTGGGTAGGTCAGTTGGTTAGAGCATCATCCTGATAAGGTTGCAGGTTCAATCTCCAGTCAGGGCACGTACAAGAAGCAATCAATGAATGCATAAATAAATGGAACAACAAATTGTTTCTCTTTTTCTCTCTTTTCCCCTTCTTCTTTCTCTAAAATCAGTAAATAAATAAATAAAATAATAATTAAAAATAAAAACAACACATGCTGAGGCCTGATTCTGAAGGTTCTAATTTAGTGGGTCTGTGTTAGATTAGTATTAAATCCAATGAGTCTATGTTTAGATATTCGTAGTAAAAACAAATTTTTTAAAACTTCTGTATTGTACTGCTAGGCTTGAGAACTACTGCCCTATGCAATACTCATTAGCATTTATACAGACATTTCAACATGACTTTGAATTTACTTATAAAGAACATAGAATATTGACTCTTTTGACTTTAGTCAATGACAAATGCAGGTCAGGTCACTGAAAATAAAAGATTAATTTCTAACCAGTTAGATTTAATGTATCCACTTAATGTTTGGATTCAGATATCCCAGAATGTATAAGGAATCAATCAATAAAAGCTTATCTAAGAATGGCTATCCACTGTCCTGGGTGTAAAAAGTAAAATCATTTTAGAGGTTATAGTTAATAAGTCATATTAAACATTTACTAAAATTAATCAGTTTTGGTATTGATATTTTTAGAGGATGATTCCAATTTGATCTCCCCCTACAATTTAGTTTTTTCAAAACACCCTCCATTCTCTAGCGTTTATATTTTCAAAAATCAGGAGTAAAATTTAGTCACCACTGGTTTACCATGTTAAAGGAAAAAAAAATCAGAGGAGTATTTTGAGAGTCCTTAGGAAAACATTTCAAAGGCCCAAAGTCAGACTGAAAACTCTGATGGGAATAAGGAAAGAGGGAAACCCGTTAATTACAATTTGATTTATTACAAGTGTATATGTAGTTAATATTCTCATGTTATCCACATGCATCTACCGTTATGTCACTGGCTACTAATATAGTTTCTTTCACCCATTTATTAAGGTATTAGGGATATTTCCTCTCCTATGTGTGTAGCAGGTGCCCAAGTATGGGTGGGCAAGGACAGAAAGAGCTCCCACTTACTAGTATGTGCCAGGCTTTATAAGAGGTTTCAAATACAGGGTGGGGGGAAAGTGGGTCTACAGTTATTCATATGGAAAATGATATAATTAATTAAAAAATAATACAAGAATACACTCTGTTTCACGGACTCACAACTATGAAACTACTTTTGCCCATAAATACTGTATTTCTTAAAAGCCTCATAATAAACCTGCAAGATACCTATTAACATCCCTATTTACATGTAAGTTTACAGATTGAGAAGCTAAGTATCCTGTCTGAGACACACAAATGGTAAATGGAGAAGCTAGATTTCAACCTGTGTTCTCATGACAAACAGATACCCCTATAGGACAAGCAACTCTGATCAAGAAAGCTGACAAAAGTATACATAACAACAGGAAGACATACAATGCTATAAACATTAGAACAAAAGCAAACAGCGAAGTCACTTACCCAGTATATCTTTGTGAGTGTAAAAGCGTGTCTTAAATGGCTTGTATTCATGGATCCGTTTGAAGACTTCCCCAAAAGGAGCTGGTGGAATTATTTTATTACAAACAGCGCAGCAAACAAAATTGTTGTAATCTGAATTTCGGATCATATTTAAATTTCAGATGTCTTTTACTATGTACAGTTATAATACTCTTAGGAGCATAAAAAGTAGTGTTGAGAAAAGCTAGATGTTTAGAGAGGCCCAAGATTCTAGGACAATGCTAGAGGCTGGTAAGGATGAAATGATTCACCATGATTAGGTAGTGGGTATGCGCCTGATGTGAAAGAATGCTACTGAAAGCCTCTGCATGTAAGGTTGGGAAGATTTAAGCTGCTGCTCCCTCCAGACACTAGCATTAAATTGTTAACTTACTTAGCAACTGTTGCTAGGTCAGAAAGCTTTGCTCATAAAAGCAACTAGAAATGACAAAAAGTGTAGCATGGTACAGCCATTCATTTCCCAAATACTTTCTGTATTAGTTTCTTATTGCTGTTGTAACAAATTACCACATATTTGGTGTTTTAAAACAACACAAATTTATTCTCTTTGGTCAGAAGTTCAAAATGAATCTTATGAGCCTAAAATTAAGGTGTCAGAAGGGCTTTAGGGAAAATGTTTCCTTACCTTTTCCAACTTCTGTAGACCACCCACATTCCTTGGCTCATGGCCTTGCATCTTTTAGCCCAGGGGTGGGCAAACTTTTTGACTCGATGGCCACAATGGGTTCTTAAACTGGACTGGAGGGCCGGAACAAAAGCATGGATGGAGTGTTTGTGTGAACTAATATAAATTCAAAGTAAACATCATTACATAAAAGGGTACGGTCTTTTTTTTTTTTTAGTTTTATTCATTTCAAACGGGCCGGATCCGGCCCGTGGGCCGAAGTTTGCCCACGGCTGCTTTAGCCTTTTCTCCCCATTTGCACGGTGACATCGCTTCCTCCTTGGATCTTCTGCCTCCCTTTCATAAGGACCTGTGTGAGTATATCAGGCCTCCCCAGATAATAAAATCCTTAACTTAATCACACCTGCCAAGCCTCCTTTGCTATATAAGATGACAGACTCACAGGTTCCAGGGATTAGGACATGCACATCTTTGGAGGTGGGTGGGGAAGGGGAGCATTATTCAGCCCACCACACTTTAAGTGATAAAAGAATTGATTGCTTTTAGACCAGCAAAGGAGGGAGTTTAATTTTTCCCCCAGATTATCTATAATGTAGTTTTGATGCTATGGCAATAAAACTGGGAAATATCACAGTATTTTAAAGAAAAAATTCCTTTCATTAAGTCAGCACTCAAAATTCCTAAGCCTGGTTTTTGAAAGCACATCCTATCTTAGACAAACATGGTAATTGACCGTACCTTCGCTACGCCTCCCATTGGCTAATCAGCACGATATGCAAATTAACCGCCAACAAAGATGGCAGCTAATTTGCATACTGCAGGCAGGGTGGGCCAGCATGAGCCGCCATCCGGGCCTCCGTGTGCCACCTAAGCCCCGCCCCCAGCCAGGACCCCTGTGAGCAGCCCTGGGCAGTGGGGCTTGGCGGTGCGATCGGTCCGAGGAAGCCCTTTTCTGTGCGGCCCTGGGTGGGCAGGACCCCCGGGACCCAGGAGCCGCCTTGCCTACAGCCTGTGATTGTGATCAGAAAGCCGGGCCGCAGGCAAGGCGGCCCCTCGGGACCCAGGAGCCCGTCGGCGAGGTCTGCAGGCGAAGCAGCAATCAAGCTATGAGGGGGAGGGTGGGGGGCGGAAGGAGCTACAGGAGCAGCTCTGGCCGGAGACTGAAGACTCCTGCCGGAGCGAGGAGCAAAGACTGAAGGCTCCAGCCACAGCAAAGACTGTGTCCAGAGCAAAGATAGAAGGCGGTGGCCAGAGTGAAGGTCTGGGTCCCGAGTGCCAGAGGAAAACTGGTGCTGGCAGCCAGGAGAAAGAAGGCCTATTGCATGAATCTTCGTGCAATGGGCCTCTAGTCTATATATATAAAAGCCTAATATGCAAATTGTCCCAGCAGGAGTTTGACCAGGAGACCGATCGCTCGCCATGACGTGTTCTGATCACCAGGGGGCGGCACAGAACAAAGGAAGGCCCCAGCCATCAGCTGGAAGGAAGGCCCAGGCTGGTAGCTGGAAGGCCCTGATTGGCTCTGATTGCTGGCCAGACCTAGGGACCCTACCCATGCACGAATTTTGTGCACCAGACCTCTAGTAGTTAAGTAATTTACATAGTTAAATAATTTGTTGCCCTTGTTTTAAAATGTAAAGTCTGCATTCCAAGAACCCCCCTGGTGCCTGACAAACTGGGACAGATTGGTTAACTATGAAAGATAAGTCTATAAACCAATAAATAATTTAACTATTTGCTTCAGGGAATTGTTGAAAGCTTGCTCCTCTGGGCAAATAACTCCTCTATCAGAACAGATTGATTCCCCGGGCAAAAAGGTCACCTGCCTTTTATCAATCAATAGTCTACTTATCAAGACTTGCTTCAAGACCTAATCTATTACCAAGTTTTGCCCAATCTCAGACAGATTCCCACATTAAAAGACCTCCTTTAACTGCTTGAACCCACACTCCAAAATGCTGTCAATATCTTGCCCTAACCAACCCCTTCTTGGACATGACTGACTTTGACCAAGTGGCATTTTCCCTTAGAGAATGAATAAAAACATCAACACATAGCCAGTCAGTCTCTGACACTCTACACACAGACTGTGCTATAACTGTAACCATCCTGTAAAAAGTATCATAGTTAGGTACTTGTTCCTAAAATTCAATGTGACTTTTATCTCCCACTATTTTTCTTTCACAACCATGTGCCTCACCGAATCTACTGCCACCTTAGTTCATTCATGTGGACATCCACATGGCTCAAGGCTGTAGCCTGTGCAGTTCCTGCTACGATATCTCTTGACTGTTCACCTAACTAATATCTCCCCCACCAAATATCAACTTATTTTGCTGAATACTAGAAGAATTCTAAAAGATGTGATACTAAATATGTAAGTTGAAGACAGAATTCAAGTTCATTAATAACCAAAGTCTACAGGGAAACCATAATTATTAAGCAAAACATAATACTTTACATTAAAAGGCATTTTGCCCTGGCCCCTGTGGCTCAGTGGTCAGAGCGTCAGCCCTCGCACCAAAGGGTCCATTCCTGGTCAATGGCACGTACCTGGGTTGCCTGTTCCATTCCCAGCCTGGTTGGGGTGCAACCAATGGATGTATCTCTTTCACACTGATGTTTCTCTCTCTCTGTCCCTCTCTCTCTTTCTCCATCCCTACCTTCCACTCTCTAAAAATCAATGGAAAAAATATCCTCTATGAGGATTAAAAAAATGAAAAGGCATTTTATACCACCTAAGTGCAATTTAAACTACATAAAGTGTACCATATAGAGAGACATAGCAAAAAAATATTTAGGGCTCAGTAGTAAAGATTTAATTTAGTTGCATATAGATAAGTCAATTAGCTAAGTTCTTTAATATCTACAAATCAGACATAATTGCATTTTCATGTGTCTTTACAAAAACCACAATAAAGTTTTGAAAATTAAAAATTTACATTATGATAAACTCTGCTTGTACAGCTGTTATTACTTCATAATACTAAATGAAACAAAATTTCAGAGATGAGATTACTGAGCCTTAATTACAATGATTTAGAGAATGGGGTAAATGTCTAGAAATAGAACAGGTCCAGAACCCTTGTCAGAAAGATTTAAATTATATCAGGTAAACCCAGGACAGTGAGGAGGCCTTCTTATCTATTGAGTAGTTCTAGTTTTTAAATAACTATAAGAACACCTGGTCTTATGTTTATCATATCATTGTAACATTAATTTACAAAAATTAGATAACTGTGGAGAGCGGCTACAGCGTTAGGACAGGATCAAGCCTCGACTGACTTGTGGCAAAGCCACATACAAGTCCCAGCTTGGAGGGCAAAGCCCTCCCAGCACAATTATAGTCAAAAGGCTATGGTTGTAAGCTTGACCTTACAGTCCGACCCTGCAGTCGTAGGTAGCTAAGGGATGTGGGCTGCAGGGGGTGCAGCAAGTGCTGCCTAAACAAAGCTTGATAGAGTTCAGAGAATGGCAACAACAGGAATGAAGCAGATTTGAAACTTGCAAGAACATTGTTTTGCTTTGTGTGATCTGACTGTAAAATAAAGCTTCTGCTTACAGGCTGTGTCACTGTTTCCTCATCCAGGCAGTGATCCACCTGTTTCCAACTGTATTCTCTTGTCTGTTTTCTTTAATCCTTCACCGCCCCTCCTCAGGTTCACCACTGGCCATGCTGGATGCAATTCAGATAACAGTTGTAGTAAAAAACAACACCATACCTCATTATAACATAGCTAAAATGAAAAGCCAAAATATATGAACCATCTGTGACTCTAAAATCTATTTGTCTATAACACTGACAATAATATAAGGCTTTACAATAATTTACAATTACTTCTTTTTCTTCACAAATATAGATTCTATGCCAGGTTGAAAATAAATGTTTCCATTGCAAATAGCAAAACAAAACTAAACCCTCAAAACAATTGCAAATGCACAACTCATCTTAAAATATTAAAAATACTGTGGAAATTTAACAATACTAGCTACTTTATTATATAGACCTTAATAATTAACAAAAATGACTTCCAGGTCAACTCTGATCAAAAAAGAAAGAAGACAGAGACACCCAAGATGGCGGCATAGGTAAACACCAGAGTTTGCTGCCTCGAACAACCACTTCAAAAATACAACTAAAAGACGGAACGGACATCACCCAGAACCACAGGAAGGCTGGCTGAGTGGAAATTCTACAACTAGAAGGAAAGAGAAAAGCATACCGAGACTCAGAGGAGGTG